CAAAAAGGGCAGAGTAAGAAAATGAGTGATACAACTCCAGACTCTGACAAAAATTATAAGATATTTAAAATTACCAACAGAGGCGAAAGCACTGGGTATGAGATAGAGCTAGGTAAGATACAGAGGAATCAAAGAAATAATATGGGGAGGATAGTGGTATTACAGATAGTTTCCTTCAAAAAGTAGCTTGTGAAACAGCCTCTCTGAGATTTGGTGCCAAGTTGCTGAAATATAGCAACATGGAAGAGGAAGAGAAGAAGGAGGGAAGCAGGTCCCTGGGGCCCAGCAAGAATCGAAGCCCACAGCAAGATCAAGGGGGGAGAAATCAGTGAAGAAGAAGGAGGTGGCAAATGCACTTTCTCCCTGAGCTTTGACTCACTGCATGGGAAGGGAGGCTCAAACCTGCAGATCACAGTGACTACTGGTGACCACAGAGACCTCCATGGAGAAATGCACCAGTGGAACAGAGCAGTGGATGCAGTAAGTGGTGAGTATTTTTGGTTCAGATGACCCCCAGGAGAGGGCACTTGGTGAGTAGCCATCTTGGAGAGGGATCAAACTGAGCTTGGAACTTAGAGCAGCTGTGCTGGCTCTGTCAGGGTGAGGCAGAACTGCGTTTCAGTTGGCAGGAGGTCAAGAAGCCAACTTCAAGCTGGCCTGGAGCTGAGTTCAGTCAGCAGGAGATTCACGGAGTGTTGTAAGCTGAACAAATTGGGTTCCAGTCTCACAGCCAGAAACAAGCCTGAGCTTCAGAACTAAAGGTGCAGGAGTGGTGGGATTATCCACCACCCTGCTGTAAATCTACAGCTGACTTGTTGGGTGAATCAACTCAGATGGATCTGGGCTTTGTGTGCTCAGTTTGTCTATTGGTGACAGCAGAGATATGCCTTGAAGTGGACATTTTTCTTTTATCCCTTTTTTCTTTTCTTATTTTTGTTTTGTTTCTTCTTGTTTGTTATTGTTTTTATAAAATGTGAAAGTTGGGCCAGGGATTTAGCTCAGTGGTTTGGTGGCCTGCCTTGCAAGCGCAAGGACCTGAGTTCAATCCCCAGTACCAAAAAAGAAAAAAAACAAAAAATTGACTTTCGTATGTTGAACCACCCTTGCATCTCTGGAATAAATCCAACTTGGTCAGGATGGATGATCTTCTTAATAATCCTCTGTATTCTCTGGACCAAGTGGAAGAGGAAAAAGCAACATAAAAGTACATCCTAAGGCCAGGGATTTAGCTCAGTGGCACTGTGCCTGCCTCCTGAGTTCAATCCCTGGTGCTGAAAAAAGTACACCCTGGAGGACACAAGGTGGGCTATTGTAAGGAAAGCCATGATACCAAGCTCTTTTGGGTGCCTGTGTCTGTTCACATCTCAAGGGAACTCAAGAGAACACCACGGAGTCCTGAGGCAGTGCTGGGATCCAGGCCTCTCTTCCTAGTCAGTCTAAGCCAGACCCTATCTCCTATCTAAGTGGTTTACAGTGAAGAACATAGGAATGACTGAGAGCAGAATATAGCAAATGAGAAACTTGAGAGTAAGAGTTAGTATACTTTCAGTGTCCTTTCTGAAAAAGAATTAAGAAATAGAATTGCTGAGGGATCTTAAGATGAATAAACTAGATAGGGGTATGAGAAGAGGGATAGAACCTAAACATCAACTAATTCAAAACAAATAAATGAAATATACAAAAACCCAAGCCAAAGAAACAAAAAATCCTAAAAAACATAATATTAAAAATAATGAAATAATGGCTGGGTGTGGTGGTGCACACCTGTAATCCCAGAGCTCAGGAGGCTGAGGCAGGAGAATTGCTGTGAGTTCGAGACCAGCCTGGGCTACCTACTGAGTTCCAGATCAGTCTCAACTTCATAGTGAGACCCTGTCTCAAAAAAAACATCCAACCAACCAACAAACAAAAAAACGAAACAGTGTCACACCAAACAAAACCATACAACACAAAAAATTCAAAACTCAGAAGATATCCAATGGGAACTCAGTTTAAACACTCCAGAAAGAGAAGATATGTGTGATTCACCTGAAACCTATTTGCCAGGAAGCCTGGGAGATGGTGGTGACTAGTGTGTAGAGATTCTCATTTTCTGAAGTGTCCAGTTTCCTCAGGTTGTGTGTGCCTGCTAGCCGGACACTACTGCTGCTCTGCTTAGGTTGTGTGTCCGGGAAGGCGTCCATAGCCCTTGGTGAGCTCTGGTGGAGATTCTTCCTTCTCAGTGGATCTTTCCTGAGTCAGCTAGGACTCCTCTTCCAGTCAGCCACATTGAATTTTCCTTTGGTCAGTTCTCATATCTGCATGTATTTGCTGACTAAAGTGAAAAGATGGGGGCAGATGGATTTGTTGGGAAAGTTGGAGAACTGCTCTGGTGGGTGCAGGATAGCAGGTGAGTTCTGGAGCCAGAAGCCCACAGTGGAGTCCCTGAGCAGGACTGCCCTTCTCATAGCTGTGCCCTGCATGGTGTAGACAGCAGTTGCTGTTTCAGCCTCATGTCCGTCCAATCATGATTCAAATCCAGAAGGAGCGTCTGTCCATGGACTGTGAGGCAGAGCACTGGTCACATTCAGATCAGGTTGCCACAGTAAGGTTTTAATCATAATAATGATGATGATAAAATGCTGCCCAAAGACAAAAAGACCCAACAGCCACAACAAAATCGCAATTACCTAGAAAAATAAAATATTTGAAATGGAAATTTATTGAAGTACCTAGGCGCAGTGTAGTTAACTTTTTGTTTAATTATTTTAAAAAAACTTTCCTATCAATCTGGATGTGGTGGTTCATGCCTATAAATCCCACCACTCCAGGAGGGTGAGACAGGAGGGTCACAAGTCTGAACCAAGCCCAGTAAGCTCAGTGACCCTGTAGGAAACAAACAAACTAACTAATAAAACAGGCTGGGAATGTAGCTCAGTATGAAGGTCCTGAATTCCATCACAAGTATCGTAAACAAACAATAAACTGGTATTTTCTTAGCTTTCTTAGAAGATTAAAAAAAAACTTTATTAGTACCTGTGTGCAGTACATTCCTTGTGGCGGGTTGGTACATGTATATAACACATCTTGATCCACCCCCCTTTTTTGAGGCAGGGTCTCCTTTGTAGTTCAGGCTGGCCCTAAACTCATTATGTAGCCCAGGCTGGCCTCGACCTCGTGGTGATCCTCCTGCCTCAGCCTCCCGAGTGCTGGGATTGCAGGCATGTACCACCAGGCCCGTCTCTTAGTTACTTTTTTCATCTGCATACCCTTCTTCTCTCCCTTCTCTGCTGTCTTTTGATCCCCCCCTTTTTTTGTACGTGTTTGCAGTACATACTGTTTACATACCTTGTGTGGAGAAGGTTTTATATTCATGTCTATTTTTGGAAGGAGACAAATTAATATTTTTTAAAAAGATAGATTTATTGAGATACAATTCACATATTGTACATTTACTTCTTCTTTTTTTTTTTTTTTTTTGGTACCGGGGATCAAACTTGGGACCTTGTGCTTGCAAGGCAAGCGGCAGAGCCACTGAGCTAAATCCCCGGCCCTACTTCTTTTTCTTTAGAAGGTTTTGCTACATGTTTTAGTTTGGCCGTGAACTCACTATGTGGCCAGGCTTACCTCAAACTCACAGCGATCCTCCTTCCTCAGCCTCCGGAGTGCTGGGATTACAGGCTTGTGCCACCACACCCAGCCACACTTACTTCTTTACAGTTTATAATTCATTGGTTTCTACTGTATTCACACTTGTGTGGTCATCATCAAAATTGCTCATAAAATTTTTTTACCACTGTTAAGGAAATAAACATGTTAGCTGTCATTCTATATATTTGTTCCTGATTTCTGATTTACAGTGACTTTTTATGCTTTTATTTACTTCTCTTTCTTAGAATTTTCCTGTGCCTGTTTCTGTTCCCTGCATATTTATGCCCTGCCTTCTCCCATTAACTAGCTGATTACTTATTAAGAGTAAGGCTACTACGGCCAGGGATTTAGCTCAGTGGTGCTGCCGCCTCCCTCACAAGCACAAGGTCCTGAGTTCAATCCCTGGTACGAAAAGAAAAAAAAAAAAAGAGAAAACGAGAAAGGCTACTAGGAGACCTTCTGGTTTATAGAAAGGTGGAAGGAGTCACAGAGACCTCTGAGAAGTGAATCCTTCCCCGTACTCTCAGTTGTTCTAATATTTTTAGTTTTGACATTGGATCTTACAAATGCACAGGATGCTTTTTTCTCCGTTAATGGAAAAAAAGAGGTGGTCACAGGAAATCCCTTTAGCTGACCACTTGTTGAGCTAGCTAAATTACTGCCAGATGTTATCTGTAGATGTCATTCCTAAAGAGCATTACTCTTAAGGCTAGCATGGTATCTGAAATTCTATCTCTGTAGAAATTATTTGCCCTAAATCTCCCTTTTAAAAGGGTCTATCTCTGGAAGGAACAGCACATAGAAGTGTTATTTCTCAAAAACATTAGCATGATTAGTTTCACCAGCTAATTCACAGTGGCATAGTGAGAGCTTGGCTATTCAGCAGGTGTGGGTATTGCCAGGAAAGGAGCGGAAGATCAGGTCCCAGTTGAGATCATGATCAGGAAGGAAAGGGGTAGGGCAGCTCCAATAGGGAGCAGAGAGAAGAAAATAAGGACTAGGGAAATGAAATAGTCATAATGGTTACATTTGCTCACAATAACCTTAATTTTGTAAGGTCCACAAACAATTTTTAAAAATCCACATTTCTAAGGTGATGCAAACACAATGCAGCTAGGGAACATTAGTTCTGTAGTACATCATAAAATTTATCTCTAATGTGACTGAAAAATCATGTGGCTGACCTTATTATAATTTCTATGATTAAAAGTTATCTTTCAGACTGCATATTTTTCTATATATGGTTAATGTGACTGAAAAATCATGTGGCTGACCTTATTATTATAATTTCTATGACTAAAGGTTACCTTTCAGACTGTATATTTTTCTATATATTGTACTTACTGTATATATCAATTATTTTATTTTAGGTAATAACCACATGAAAGAAGAAAATTATGCTGCTGCAGTGGATTGTTATACACAGGCGATAGAACTGGATCCCAATAATGCAGTTTATTATTGCAACAGGTAAACCAGGGCCATTGTAGCAGGTTTATAGTTCTTAAACATTTGGATTCATACCTCTGAAAGAAAGTGGTAAAATTTAATAACATTTGAAAGTTCAGAAATTATAAAGGAGGAAGGAAAAGTAAACTCATAAACTTACACCTCAGAGGCAACTATTAACCTTTTGGCGTATTTTGTTTTGGGTAAATGCACTCAATTTTAGAGTTTTATTTACTGGACATGTCATATGTCCTAATTTCATTGAATTCCTTCATAAACATTATTTAAATGGTTATATATTGGTCTATTTTGCCTTTATTCTTTTTTTAAAAATTTCCTGTGCCTAGCATTGGAGTGGGCAAACAGGCATGCAATAAGTATTAGTTTTGAATAAGTGGATACATACACCTTTATTTACTTAACTGTTGACCGGCCGGTGGACATTGAGCTTGTTTCTCTTTTTTTCAGTCACATCAAGCTATAGTGAATGTCTATGCTTGTAAATGTTTTATGCTTCAGATTTCCTGAACTTTGAATTTATCCCTAGAGATGCATTTAATTGGCCTAACAGTGTAAATGTTTAAAAAATTGATACAAATTGCAAAATTATTTCAACTTTTTTGAATGTATTTTGAAAATTAATTTCCTCCTCAGGACTGTATAAATGTATCTATTTTTGCCATGCTCTTTATCATCATTAAGCACTAAAATTATTAGTTACAAATTTAATATTGTCTCCATATTAATTTTCCTAATTTATATTCAATTACTGATGAGATTGAACTTTTTTTTTTTTTTTTTTTTTTTTTTTTTTTTGGTTTTTTGAGACAGGGTCTCACTATGTAGTTGAGACTGACCTGGAACTCACTATGTAGCCCAGGCTGGTCTTGAACTCACAGCGATCCTCCTGCCTCAGCCCCTGAAGTGCTGGGATTACAGGCGTGCGCTGCCACGCCCGGCAAGATTGGACTTTATAGTTTCTTTTTTGAGCTCAGTGCCTTTGAAACCCTTTTATTTTTTATTTTGAGACAGGGTCTTGCTAAGTCACAGAGTTGTCCAAGCTGGGCTCAAACTCATGATCCTCCTGCCTTGGCCTACTAGAGTGTCAGGATAAACAGGCATGTGCTGTCACCATCCCTGGTTAGACATTTTTCAAATATCGGGTATTAGTGTTTTATTTCTCCTACTAAATGTTCTACTCATACTATCTATAGACTGAATGATTATGTTCCTCCAAAATTCATATGTTGAAACATAAAGCCTACTGCAATGATATGTGGAGGAGAGGCCTTTGGGAATTGATTAGGTCTTGAAGATGGTGCTGTCAGGAATGGCTAATGCCCTTATAAAAAAGACTCCAGAGAGGTCTTTGCCCCTCCTTCCATGTGAGGAAAACAGTGGGAAGAGTACCTGTATCGGGCCTTAGCCTGTTTGACCTCAGACCTCTTGGCACTATCCAGTTTCACAGAGATCTGCAGCCTGTAGGCTACATTTGCAGGGCTCTTTTACCACCTCTTTTTTCGCACCTCAGCTATACCAGGTGCTGATAGGAGGGTGAAGGGTAAAAGAAGCACAGAAATTTGAGTACTGATCCCCTTCCTCTCTTTTTATATCACAGAGTATATATTAAAACAGTTTTTTTTTTTCACATCCTTGTTTCCCACTTAAACGCACCTGCCTTGCTTTCAGCTTTCGCCACGTGACCTTGATTTTTGGCCTCTGTGCTTTCTTTGTCCTTGTGTTTTAGAGATGGTAATGGCTTTTTGCTGTTGCTAACCTCTGGATTGATGTATAATCCGTGCTTTGGCCTCTCAGCTCTTTTGTCATCTTATGTAATGAATTTCCTGCATTAAGTTATTCTGTTTAATATAAATTTCCAGTAGAACTTTCTGCAGTAATAGAAGTATTCTACTGTTAAATTCATATTTGTTGACTGAAGTCCTCCTTTTTCACAAATTTTCCCTGTCGTATCATTCAATCATGTATTCATTTAGCAGATTTGTACCAAACATGTACTAGTGTTGTCACCGGAAGTAGAGGTGTTTGGACTGAAAAGCAAGATGTTATCCCTATGGAATTGTATCTTGTAACACTCTATTTATGTATCCCTTAATATTTTTAGATAATGAATCTGTAAAGTAATATATTTGCTTTTGTTCCCAGTTTCATGTCACCCACAAAAATGAGAAGAATATTATCTCTCACATTATGCCAGTTACAAGTTAACTAATGGAGATGTATCACAGGGAATACTTAAGAGCAGAGTTCTGTACCCAGACTTTTTGGATTCTAATGTCTGGTTCTGCCAGTTACTTCTTATGTGACCTTTACAAATTATCTAATGTATCTATGCATTAGTTTTCCTATCTGTAAAGTATGTATAATAGTAGTAATTATCTTATGGGGTTGTTGTACAGGTCAGAGAATTTATATAAAGTACTATGAAAGTGTGTAGTAAAGAGTGTTATATACAAGTAATAACTATTATTATTTATGTGGTCCATTTTCCTATCTTGATCAGAATATGAAGAGAGATCCAAAGTTACCAGCTTCCAAATATATTCTTAATTGTCTTTTCTGATTACCAGCCTAGTAATAATCCTATTAAAATAAAGAGGAGCCAAGTGTGGTGGCACACACCTGTAATCCTAGCACCAGGAGGCTGAAGCAGGAGGGTCACAGTGAGTATGAGACTGGCCTGTTGAGTTCTAGGTCAGTCTCAACTACATAGTGAGACCCTGTCTCAAAAAAACAACAACAACAACAAAAAAGGCAAAACAGAAGGACTGCTATAAATTTGAGGCCTGCCTGGGCTGCATAGTGAGTTCAAGGCCAGCTAGAGCTGTGTAGCGAGACCCTGTCTCTTAAAAACCAAAAATATATAAATGAATAGATAATTAAATAAATAAATAATAAAGAGGAATGTTAGTCTGACAGGACTTGTTCTGAATTAATCCAGTGTCATGTCTTTTTTCTTTAATTTCTAACATTTTATTATGAAAAATTTCAAAGTTGAAGAATTCCAAACTTAGATTTTGCCATCAGTATTTTAGTATATTTGCTATATCACATACTTACACTCTCCCTGTTTTAGTCTATACAATTTTTGATACATTTCAAAATAAATTATAACCACCTGTACAATTTCTTCCTAACTATGTAGCAGATCATTAACTAGAGGTCAAAATTTGTTTACTTCTTTTTCTTTTTTTTTTTTGAGACAGGGTCTCACTATGTAGTTGAGACTGACCTGGAACTCACTAGGTCACCCAGGCTGGTCTCAAACTCACAGCGATCCTCCTGCCTCAGGCTCCCAAGTGCTGGGATTACAGGCTTGCGCCACCACTCCCGGCACTTATTTTTCTATTTAGGTAAACTACTGTTCATACAACAAAACAGAAATATACTTTACTGAATTTTGATAAATGTATCACCTTTGTAACAGAAATCTCTCTTAATTTTAGTATATGTGCTTCCTAAGCAAGCATCACAAAGCTCTCTTAAGATAATTGAAAATTTCTATCAGATGACCAAGAACTTCCTTAAGTTCTTTCAAGGTTACTTGTAATAATCCACCTGGGGAGATCACTATCCCCCCACCCCCACCCCCACCATAGATAGATTTGTAGAGGATTCTAGAATTTTATATGAAGGAATAATACATAATTTTCAATAGAAGACACTTGTTGCTTGTGATTCAACCATAATGCTGCATATATCAATAGTTCATTCTTATTATTCAGTAGTGTTTTACTGTTTGGATGTACTGCAATTTCGTTAGTAATTTTCCTACTTGTGGTCACTTGGTCTATTTCTAGCTTTTTTTCTTTTCATTTTGTATAAAATTTATAGTTGTTACTGGAAGGGAAAGGTTATATTTGTGAGGAATTGGGCTGTCCATACTGGAAACATTGATTTCCTTTTTTCATTAAAAGTATTCCTTTATTGGGCCAGAGATTTAGCTCAGTGGTTCTGCCACCTGCCTCACAAGTGTAAGGACCCAAGTTCAATCCCTGGTACCAAAAAAAACAAAAACAAAAAAAATTCCTTTATTAATCTATTCTAATGGTCTGTGCCAGAAAAATAGAAAATACAAATAAGTTGTGGAGAATGAAATTCCCAAGCTATATTTTGTGTATCAGTTTTATTTCCTGTAATCACATGAAAATAAATGTTTTAAAATTGCATATGAAACTTTTAAATAAATGTATTTAAAATTATTATGGAATGTTATGATCTGATATAGATGTTATCAAAAATTGCTTATTTTTAGAGCACAGTGAGCTATTTGCTTACTTTGAATATTGAAAATATAAGCCTAATAACTTATTTTTAATGAGATTAGAGTTCACAAACAGTCTTAGTCTATAAGTATTACATTAAATGAGTTTCTTGGCAATACTCATGCTTCCTTTTTATTTAATTACTTTTATGCTAAAATAATAATGTCATTGTTTTGCATTTAAATAGTATCTGCTCTGAGAAATTTAGTAATAGAGTATGCTACTTAATATTAAATAATTAGAAAAGCTTACGTATCTAAAGCAATCACTGAATAAAACTATAGGTTAATTTTAGGACTTTTGGAAACTCTTATAGATATCTCAATAGCTTGTAGACTTGGCAATCACTCTCTGCCATTTTTCTTAGCCAGCTTACTGCTAGGAGTTGGAAGCTCAGATACCAAATTAAATCTTGCTTTCAAAATTTATTTTACAGGCTGGGGATTTAGCTCAGTGGTGGCACCGCCTGCCTCACAAGTGCAGGAAAATTTATTTCAGTTTTATTACTAATAAAAAAGTTTTTAATGTACTAAGCTCACTAGGATGAACTATAGTTTACTTTTTGTGCAAGTGACTTTTTTATGTGTTCAATAAATAATCATTTGGTGCAGTTGTTTTGCCTAAATATTTCTTTTTAGTACTGTATTCATCTTCTATTTTGTCCCTTAAATATCCTACTTATGCTTGGGGTTCTGCTTAGAAGGAAGAAATGAATACTCCTTGAAACTTAGGTGTTTTATGCTTTTTTCCCCTGTGTTTTGAGCACTTACCACAGTGTATAGTATTTATGTAGGGTTTATCAGATGTTCTGCCTTAACTTTTATGCATAGTTATTTTCTTTCTTCAGATGAAGGGCAGGGGTTTATATGTATTTGTAACCTCCATACCACCTAGCATTATGCTTCACAGGAATTTGGCTAATTTTTCTTGGATGAATGGCGAGTTATAGAAGAAATATAGACATTTCCACTAATATTAAAGCAACTAGATGTTCACAGTAACATTTGTATACATAAAGCAACAAACTATTGAGTATAGATCTAAACACTTTCAAGTACTTTATAGTATAAAATGGATAGAAGTTTTTTCTTCACATGCCAATTTGGTGTTTTTTGTTTTGTTTTGTTTTGTTTTTGTATAGCCTCAGTACTGAGTATATTACTTCATCTATAGTAGGCTCATACTTCCGGGGTGGATAGAGAGTTGCATAACTTACTAAGGCAGTACATGGAATAAAAAGTACACAAGAAAGAGAGCATGATAGAGAGAATTTGTTTGGAGGGCCTCTTGGGTGATGGGGTGCTAGAGTTGTGATTTTGAAGGACGAGTAGAACTTGGAAAGAAAGGAAAGGGGAAGACATTTTAGAGTGGAGAGTATAGTTTAAAAGGAAGAGTCAGAAATCATCAGGCTATTGTAAGAAGCAATTGCTATATGTGACAAACATGTAGCTTTCTTAGATTTTAAGAATGGGAAAAGGTACCAAAAAAAAAGAATGGGAATAGAGGCCTCTTACCACCACCCCTGCCAGTTGGTTTATAGTCAGTCAGTTCACTGAGATTTATATCTCATTTATTGAACTTGGATTGAATTTCAGTTCTGCTACTTACTAGCTATTTGACCCCGGGTATTCACTTAACCTTTTAAAACCTCAATTTCTCCACTTTCGAAAGATAACACTAACCATTTCAAAAGTGTTGTGAGGTGTGATAATATATACGATTCCCTAGCATAGTTCTAGACTTTAAATATTTGTTTCTTTCAAAAACAGAGTAAACTTTTGTTAGATGTAGGAATAGGTTTTGTTATAATTTATTTATAGGCAATAAGGGGAATGTGAGTTAGCTGTGGCTTTTTTTCAGCTTTATTTTCTATAAAAAGAGAACGCATTTATATTCATGCTTTTGTTCTAATAAAGTAACGAAATTCAAGTTGTTTGAGAACATGGTGACTAAGTGTATTGCTGTACTGAAATTTCATTAATTATGCCCTAATAACCAGATAGCAAAGGCAGGGTGCAGTCACATTCTTACTCTGTTCAGACATTGGCGTGTTTGGCTCCATCTCACAGATGATTCACATATGTCCTGGCTTCTTTCCTCTTCCGGCCTCTGGGCCTCAACTGACTCTCTGTTGTGAACTGTACAAATCCGTCTTCACCCTAGCTTGCCAATCATGATCTGTAGCTGTCAGATGAATCAAGTCATCCTGTTTTTTTACATTCATTCTCTTTCTGAGTCTGATCCTTCGAGCTTTATTCCTACTCTTACTGTCAGTATCTGAAGCCAGAGTTTAAGCCATCTTCCTTTATTCTTCTCTTTTCCATAAACCTCCCAATAATTAATTTTTGTTCCCTGCTGTCCTAATCTAGATCATTAACTCTTGCAGTAGGAACCTAAAGTGGCCTCATATTTCTGCTTATACTCCTCACTCTAGTTTTCTGTCAAAAGATTTTTTCTTTTTAAAATATGAAGGTGATCATCTAAATTCTCAGCATGATACACATCCTTTCTTTTAATCTAGTCCCCCCGCCCCCGTCTATTGAAGATTGAATCCAGGACCTCACTTGCGCTAGGTAAACACTCTTATTATTGAACTACATTGTGAGCCCTTTTAAAAATTGTATTTTATTTTGAGACAGTCTTACTAAGTTACTCAGGCTTGACTTAAATTTGCAACACTTCTGCCTCAGGCTTCCAAGTAGCTGTGATTACAGGTGTGCACCTCTGTATTATTTTCTGAGCCTCTATTTTAAACCTCCAGTTTTCTTTCCTTATGTCTCTTCTAAGTTAATCCTTCCTAATTGGAAACACTATTAAGACATATTCTTTTTCCAAAGTTGGCTTTTTCAGTATTTTGCTAAGGGATGAGATTATGGGAGAACTTTTGGGAGACTTAAAGAGATAAAAGATCAGTTGCTTCAGAAGTGAAAGAATTGGAGAAAGCACCAATGGACTTGTTCTTTAACACTACTATTAAAGGAAGCAGATAGCAGCGGATCACTCTGTGTAGCCATTCCTGGCAATCACTTACTCTTTGTGCTTCCCCAGAAGTCCACATACCCTTAGTGTTTTCTGTTTTCTGTTGGGGCAAATTAGAAAGACATACAACTTGCATATCTGTCTTCTCTCTATCAAAGTAAACAGTGAAATGAAGCTTGTATATTTTGTTCCTGAACAAAATTTCTGAGGTCCGCCCCCCATTTTATTATATAATTATCCTAGACAGTTTGACTTAGAAACTTACTGGGAGTGATTTACAGATTATTAGTGTAAGTAAAATATAGGTTTTTTTGTTTTGTTTTGTTTAGTCCTTGAAATTCCAAATTAGTGCCTTGAAACTTGCTTATAATAAATATCTCTTTCTCTTTTTTAGGGCTGCTGCACAAAGCAAATTAAGCCACTACACAGATGCAATAAAGGATTGTGAAAAAGCAATAGCAATTGATTCTAAGTACAGCAAGGCCTATGGGAGGATGGGGTAAGTTCTAGTAAAATGTGCAATGTAATATACCAAGTTGTATCAGATACACTGTTCTTATTGGCTTAATTTTGAATTTTCTGCTTAATACCACCTTCAGAACTAATAAGATAAATATAGCATAAGGAAGGAAATGACTATAATTTCTGTTTTGAGAGTGAGACAACTGTTTTTTTCTTTTTTTGACTGATTGTTTATTTGATAAAATCATGCAATCATACGAGTAGACTCATCTTATGATCATGACCTCAAATATTAGATGAGCATTAGACTGTCTTCCTACTGTTTTCTTCTACATTCTTTTTTCCAGTCTCTGATTTGACTATTTTATATCTTTCTCTTCCTCAGATTTTGATTCTCAGCTGATGATATTGCCTTACACTTAATTGTAAAAATAAGTTATTCATCTTCCTAATTCCAAGTCTACCAGTCTACCTGCATTTATATCTACAAAGATTGCCTTTTTTTCCTTATTAAAATGGAAGGGTTCTCACATAAGACTATTACCTTATCCTTATGCTTTGAGATGTTACCCTTTTATTCTTTCACACTGCTATTTATTCCCTTTAACTTCTACAGAACTAGTTTTCCTTATTCTAATAGATGAAATTGGCTGGTTTTGTGAAATAGTAAAAAAAATTATTCTTTGGAACCAATCTTTTACCCACTTTTACCTCCCCAGCTACAATCTTGTATCTTAGTTCCTCTTTGCCTGCAAAGCGCTTGATAATTGTACTTGCTGTCTTGTCTTTATCATCTTTTGTTCTTTCTTTAGCCAATTCTAATAGAGCTGTGATGGTTTATTTTCTTTGTCAACCTGGCTAGACTAATGGATGCCCAGATAGCTGGTAAAGCATTATTTCTGACTCTCTGAGGAAGAAATTAGCATTTGAATCTATAGATTGAATAAAGATCACTCTTCAGTGTGGGCATGAAATTCTTTGATGGCCCCAATAGAACAAAAATCCAGGGAAGGACCAATCATTCTTTCTGCTTGAGCTACGGCATCTGTCTTTTCCTGTCCTGGTACCTCGGCATTCTTGATCTTGAGCCTGTGGAGTCTGACCAGGTCTTATACCATCAGCTTCTCTGCTTCTTAGGTTTTCAGGTTTGGACTGCAGCTATATCATTAGTTTCCCTGGGCCTCCAACTTACAGATGGCAGATAGTGGGACTTTTAATTTCCATCGTTGTGTAAGCCAGTAACTCATAACAAGTCTGTATATATCTCTGTCATGGTACTATTGGTTCTGTGTCTCTGGAGAACCTTAAGACAATCATTCTGTCAAGATAGCTCTCTTCAAGGTCACAAGTTGTCTGTATTTCATCAAAGCTAGTATTCAGTTCTGTATCCTCACATTACTCCTCTTTTAGTCTTTGATGCAATTAACCTATATTTGAAAGACTTCATCCTATACAATTTTTCCCACTTTCCTGGTTTGCCTTGTACTATACTGGATGCTCTTTTCCAGTCTCCTTTGCTGGTTCTTTCTCCTTTACCACTTCTGAAAATGGAATTTTGCAAGGCTTTGTCCTCTGCTGGTGTTGCTTTTCTGTCTGTTCTCCTGATTTCATTTTACCCCATATTTTTAAATTCCATTTATAGTTATTATTCATTATTTGAAGGTTATGTCTTTATGAATTTGCCTATTTGCTAAAATTTATTTGTAATCCTCAATTTAATGTTTTTATTTATGTATGTATTTTTTTTTTTTTGAGACAGGGTCTCACTATGTAGTTGAGACTGACATGGAACTCACTTTGTAGCCCAGGCTGGTCTTGAACTCACAGCAATCCTGCTTCAGCCTCCCAATGCTGAGATTACAGACATGCACCACCATGCCCGGAAATTTAATGTTGATTTATGGTCAAGTAAAAAAAAATTGATTGTACAGTACTGATGTACACTACCTCAGCAGAGGTTGAATAGCTCTTGTTCTTCTTTGTCAGCTTATGCTAAAATAGTCTATTTGTTGCTACACTTTAAGAAAAATTTTATGCTTTTTGTTTGTAATTTTGCTGCTTGAAATATCCTATCAATATGCTCTCTATTGTTCCCAAGTGCAAGAAGCTGTAATATGTCTTACAAAGAAAATACATGTGTGAGATCTAAGCTGCATTCAAGCACGAGCTTGTGGTGTTGCCCTTGAATTCAATGCTAATGAACAAGTAATGCATACTGAAGTTTCTTTAAACAGAAAACAGAAAACAATGTTATGTAATGTGAACCACAGTTCACAGGAACCTAATCCAGTGCTTTCCCTAAGAATAATTACTTTGTATTTGCTAATACACTGCTCATGGAGATTTCATGGAATTTAATTTTTGTGAATCAGTATCAACTTGATATGTTATTCGACCTCAAGTTATATATCTGACTTCTACACTTAATATATGCAACTGCTTTTCATCATGTTTGGATATATAATAGACATTCTGAACTTCATATGTTTCAAGCAGAACTCTTGTTCCTTTCTTAAATCTTTTCCAATTCAGTAAATTACATCATCATTCATGTACCCATTGCTTAGGGTCAAAAGCTGAGGAGTTATTCTTCATTCCTTTTTTGTTTACTTTTTGAGATGGGGTCTCACTAGGCAGTTGAGGCTCTCCTTTAACTTGCTATGTAGTCCAGGATGACCTTGAACTCACAGTGAGTCTCCGGCCTCAACCTCCCAAGTGCTGGGTATGGTATGCTTCGACATACCTGGCCAACTGTACATATGGCACACTGAATCTACAGGTCCTTTGTCTTCTAATTTCCATGTATATCTTGGATCCAGATGATGAGCAGTATCTGGCTTATATGCCTAATTCAAAGCAGCAAATTGACATTTGTTGTTTCTCAAAATCCTTGCTAGGAAGGAAGAATGTGGGATATTTTGAAGCATAAATATAGTTTGGATTTTTTTTACATTATTGCTGTTTTTGAACTGGAGTCTTACTATATTGGCTAGGCTGACTTTGAACTCCTATCCTCGAGTGATCGTCCTATTCATTTGCCTGAATAGCTGGGACTACAGATGCATACCACATTTCTGTCTTAAGAGTCTTTTAAGATGGTATTATCATCATTAATTTACTTGACCCCAGGAATTATTAGATGGCACAAATCTCAGCAGAGGTAGGTATATGTAAAGCAAATGACTTCACATATTAGGCTTTAAAAATGGAAGGGTTTAGAAGGTTCATCTCTAAGTGTTAAGTTTATTATCTATATGGGACGACCAAGGTTGTCACCAAGCAGAATGGAGAGAATTCAGACTAACAGAATTTTGGAGTTAGAGGGAATTTTAGTGACAGTCTTATAAACCATGGGGCAGTAAATTAAATGTAATTTGGATTAGAAAGAAATACTAAGATAAACCTTTTGACTCTTTGATATCCTGATGTTCTTTAGCATAACTCTTCTACTGTTATATGCTGTATTTCTTTCAGGCTGGCCCTTACTGCCATGAATAAATTTGAAGAAGCAGTTAGAAGTTATCAAAAGGCATTAGATCTTGATCCTGAAAATGATTCCTATAAATCAAATCTGAAAATAGCAGAACAGAAGTTAAGAGAGGTATCTAGTCCTGTAAGTTTTTAAGTGTGAAATGGGTGATACATTTTCTGTCTTTTACAATTTATTAAATTAAATTGTAGTAGTTGGAATGATTCTCAGATATAGCTCTTTTACAGACAGGAACTGGACTGAGTTTTGACATGGCTAGCTTGATAAATAATCCAGCTTTCATTAGTATGGTAAGTATATTTCCTTTTCTGAGCTACCGATTCTGCTTTCTATAGAGCAATATAATATAAATTTCACCAAACATTTTTAAGAGATGGGGTTTTGCTTTGTTGCTCAGATTAGCCCAAATTCTTGGGTTCTGATGGTCTTGTCTCAGCCTCCCCAGTAGATGTGACTACATGCTTCAAATCTTTTTAGAAACAAATAAGGTAGTTTCTGTGTTGCTGTTAGTAGTGAGGTGCTGATGGCAAAGGCTAAGACAGACGTTCTTCCCTTGGCCATCTTCCTCTGAAGGAAACTAGAAGTGGGATTTCAGAAAGCTCATAGGTTCCTCGAGAAGGTTTATAGAAATCTATGTATAGGTTGATATCTGCATGTTTCTAGGCAGAAAACCATTATTTGGAGTATACAAATGTTTAAAAGGTTAAAAAAACCAGATTCTTAAGGGCTGGGGATTTAGCATAGTGCTGCTGCCACCTGCCTTGTAAGCACAAGGTCCTGAGTTCAATCTTTGCTACCAAAACAAACAAACAAAAAACCCCAGTCTCTTACATGAAACTGGGCTAGGAAGACAGTTTTAACAATTGAGCTCTGAAGATTTCGGCTGATGATTCCCTAAACTTGTCCTCAGTATTATTTGCCTTGTTTTCTTTTTTAAGAGTTCATTTGGATTTAGGGGTCTAACCATAAAAAAAGTATTTGAACTTTTCATGTAAGTCTCATATATATGTATTTTATTTTCAAGCCAACAAAAGAACAGTCTTTTGGAATATATACAGTGGTCCAATATATGTTAACTTTGATTTAGTGGGTTTAGGATATTACCTGAGCATATAAAGCTCTCTCAGTGACTGTATATTTTGGATAATAAACCTTCTGCCACATGCTGTGCCCCTTGAAGGCAGGAATCAGTTCTTATTCATCTTTGTTTCCTTCAAATAAATGTGTCTTGCATCCATTAAATCCTCAGTTGAGTTGAAATGCATAGATAACTTATTCCCAGTGAGATAAAGATGTCTTTTGAGCAAATGGTAGCCCCCTACAAAAATCAAAATTAGTTGGTCATCCTACCTACTTGCTGACAAATATATGCCTTTTTGTAAGTTTTATGACATTTTTTAACCTAGTTACCTACTTGTAAGACCCAGTTTATGCTATTGTAACAGGATGTGAAAATGGAATTCTTTTAGTTCCAGATTTGACTCAGGCTTCAAACTGATATGTACCCAAATAAGGTGTAATATCACAGTGTAAGACTTGTAAAACATGAGGGTTAAAAAGCACATTTTTTTATTCTTAGGGAGGGCCAGGGCTGGGCTGTGTACACCCCTAGATAGATTCCCGGAACTGGGGACAAAAAAAGGCTCAGGTTGATAGAAATTAAAAATGAGACTTTTGGAGAGAGAGCTTTTAGAGTTCCAGAGCCCTATTCCATATGTGAGGGAAGTGGGGAAGCCTGCCTTCATCTCAAGCCCACTGAAATGGACTTTTCTGGTCTACTTAAAAGAGCCCCATGGAACAGTCATATCTCTCAAGAAGTTCTCATTCAGAATCTCTATAGAAGATTCTTTTTTTGAGACAGAATCTCATTGCATAGTCCAGGTTGGACTTGATCTTTGTCTTGGTTACTTTTCTCATTACAGAGACAAAATACCCAACACCCAAAGTTAAAGGAGGAAAGGCTTATCATAGTTCACAGTTTGTAGAGGTTTGTAGAGCTTTCGGTTCATAGTTGGCTGGCTTCAAAATGAGGTGGCATGGCAGAGGGGTATGGCAGCTAATGGTGGGCAGGCAGGAGATGGCAAAGCAGCAAGCAGCAGCATGCAGCATGTAGCAAGGCAAAAATGGAATTCCCTTTTATTCCATTCAGGCTACCTTCCCCTTGGATGGTGCCATCCACACCCTGAGTGGGCCTTCCTCATCCACACACAGAACTATGTTTAACCAGAAAGTGGACTAATTTAGTAATCACACATTCTTAATCCCAGCATCACACAATTTACTCCAGCATCACATACCCCATCCACTTCTGTAAGTTCCATCTTTGAGCACATGAGGCTTTGGGGAGACATCTAGATATAAACCATAACAACCTCAGATGTAGCCTCACCTGGTCTCAAATTGCAATCCTACTGGCTTTGTGTCTCTAGTGCTGGGATTAGAGGTATATACTGCCCCAGTAATATCTCAGTTCATGAATACTTCTGTTGATAAACAATTTGCTTCTCCAAAAAAAAGTGTTAAACAGAATTTTGCTTCCATTCACAAACTCCACATCAGGTGACAAACACAACTGTGGTCATTTTCGCTATACAGACACTAATGTAACCATCTTCCCCAAACTGATACTTAATCACTGTACTTTAGTTTCTGTTTTTCCTTTTAGCTTAATGAATCTGATCAATAGTAGTAAGTAAATTGCCACCAAATCATCTTAGTATTTTTTGTAGTATTGTCTATAATCTCTTTATCCTTGCAGTGTCTTTTTAATACCATTTTTCAGTGCCTTTTTATTATTCCCATTTACATTACTTTGTATAGCACAGTAAAATTCTGCAAAGTGATCTTAATTTATTTTGAGCTAGCAGTATGACAATAAAAAAATACATGTTTTAGTTTTCATTCTTCAACCTTAAATAAAAACTTTGTTAAAGATTCCTACATATTGGGTTCAATAGCAGAGTGCTTACCTTTTATGTTCAGGGCCCTGGGTTTGAACTCTAGCAACTGAAAGGGGAACAAAGATGCTTAAATATTAACTGCCTTTAATGGGAAATACTATTTTTCAATTCTAGGCAGCAAGTTTAATGCAGAACCCTCAAGTTCAACAGCTGTAAGTATATAAAAGGAGCTTGTTACATTTTCTCCTTCTGCTTCTCAGGTTGCTAATTTGAGCATATCTGCTCAAAAGTGATGAACCTGCCTTGAATGCCAGTCATTTGGAACTTAATGTCTCATCTATGTGACCTAACTTCTTATATAATATGGGTATATTTAACTGAGTTTTTCTTGACCAGTTATCCTACTTATTAAGAATATATATTAATCTTATTACCATATCTCTTGCATACTGTAGCATGTCAGGAATGATGACAAATGCCATTGGGGGACCTGCTGCTGGAGTTGGGGGCCTAACTGACCTATCTAGTCTCATCCAAGCGTAAGTGTTGTTGAAAAAAGAAATAATGAAAATGTATTTTATAGTTTACAATTTGAGAGGGCAGAGCTTGATTTTCCTTTTTTTTGTTTTTTCTGGTACTGGGGATTGAACTCAGGACCTTGCACTTGCAAGGCAGGTGGTGGAACCGCTGAGCTAAATCCCCGGCCCCAGAGCTTTCTTATTTCTGTGCAATATGTCATATGTACGTTCATTGTGGGGAATTGAAAAACATACATATTGCATCTCAGTCTTATTTATTTCTCCTTCTCTTCCTCTCCAGCCCCTCTCCTTTTATCCCTAGATCCACTTTCCATCTGCAAAATATCTATCTCCCTGTTTCCTATTGTCTTTTATTTTGCTATATAAATTATTTATGCTTTGGATTTCTCATATAACAGAAAGCATACAATATTTAACCTTCTGTGTCTGATTCATTTCACTTAACATGATTGTCTCAAAGTGCATCCATTTTCAACAAATAACTCAAATTTATTCTTTTTTTTTTCTTTGATTGAGTTTATTGGTACATTTTCGGCATACAGTACAATTACATTCATTATTGGGACCTTGTACCTTTACATGACAGGTCTTGATTCTCTTTTTTGCCCCCTTGTCTGTGCCCTCCCTTCACCCCCTCTTCCCCTCCCCATTTACAAACATTTTATTTCCATTTTTTCATTTTCTGATATTTTTTTCTTTTCACTTATTACCTTTCCCCTACCCTTCCCATTTTCCCTATACCTTAAGACCTTTTCTTCCTATTTCACATTGTCAGTTATCTCATTAGGATCTTATGTACTATTATAGTTTTTCACACCAGAGAAACTATTCGGTATTTACACATGTATGACTTATTTATTTCACTTAGGAGTCCATTTTCCTATGAATGAATCTAATTTCTCATTCTTTGTGGCTGAGTAGTATTCCATTTTATAGAAAAACCACATCTTCTTTATACAGTTTCCAATTGATGGACAAATTGGTTGTTTCCAAGTTTTATCTATTACAAACTATGCCACTATAAACATTGGTGTGCATATATCACTTTGGTATGATTCTTTTAATTCTTTTGAAAAGATACCCAGCAGAGGGATGACTGGGTCAAATGGAACCTCTAGTCCCAGCTCTTTGAGGTATCTCCATCCTCAGACAAAGGACTACTATCGAGAATATATAAAGAACTCAAAGCAATCAGCCCCCCCCAAATATAAAGACCCAATTCAAACATGGGCATCTGAAATGAGCAGACATTTCTCAGACAAAAAAGTAAAAGCAGCAAGTACATATATGAAAAAATGTTCCACATCACTCGTCATTTGAGAGATGCAGATGAAAACAACACTGAGATTCCACCTCACCCCACAAAGAATGGCTGCTATCAAGAAATCACACAATAACAAATGTTGGTGGGGTTGCGGGGAGAAAGGAACCCTCCTCCATTGTCGGTGGGAGTGCAGACTGGTGCAACCATTATGGAAATCAAATTTATTCTTTATGGCTGAATAGTATTCCTTTGTGCATATATACCATACTTTCTTTACCTGTTCATCTGTTGATCGCCATATAGGCTGTTTTCAAGATTTAGCTGAATTCACGACCAGCCTGGGCTACACAGTGAGTTCCAGGCCAGCCTTAAATATATAGTGAGTATCCGTACAATATGATGTCTTTAGCTCTTTTAGGAAGATATCTAGAAGGGAAATAGTTGGATTGTTTGGAATTTCTAATCTTAGTTTTTTGAGGAATCTCCATACTGATTTCCATACTGTTTTTACTAGTTCACATTCCCATTAACAGTATAGAAGGGTTCTTTTTACATAACGAGCTTGCCATCATTTTTTGTTGTTGTTGTTTGTTTCTGATGATTGTCATTCTTTCAGGAGTAAGATAAAATCTCAGTGTTGTTTTGTATTTCTCTAGTGGCCCTGATACTGAATATTTTTTTATGTACTTATTGACCATTTGGACTTCTGGGAAGTTCTTTACTGGATTTATTTCAATTTTCCATTTTTTATTGGGTCATTTGTTGGGGGGGTCTGTTTATTTATGAATTTTTCAAATATATCTTAGTTGCTAGTCCTGTGAGGAATAGCTAGCAAAAAATTTTCCCGTGCTGTAGATTATCTCTTTACTCTGTTGTCTCTTTGCTGTTCTGAAGCTTTTTAATTTGATACTATCATGTGTACTGATTATTGACATTATATCTTGTGCAATTGAGTTTCTGTTGAGAAAGTCTTTGCTAATGCCTATGTCTTCAAGAATTGTATCTATTTTATTTTTCATCTCATTCAGTGTTTCTAGGTTTTTTTTTTTTTTTTTGTTTTTTGTGTGTGTGTGTGTGTGTGTGTGTGTGTCAGGGATCGAACTCGGGACCTTGTGCTTGCAAGGCAGGTGGCAGAAACATTGAGCTAAATCCCCAGCCCCAGTGTTTCTGTTTTAATACTAAATCATTGGTACATTTTTATTTTAGTACAGAGTGTAAGTACAGGTCTAGATCCATCTTTTTGCATGTGTATAACCAGTTTTCCTACTACCATTTGTTAAAGAGTTTGTCTTTTCTCCAGCATATGTTTTTGGCCCCTTTCTCAAAATTCAGATGGCTGAATATCTGTGGGGTTGTTTCTGCATTCTCTGTTCTGTTTCATTGATCTCTGTCTTTGTCTGTGTGTGTGTGTGTGTCTGTGTGCCAGTACCATGCTGTTTTTTTTTTTTTTTTAATCTCTGTTGCTTTATGATTTGAAACCCAGGATTATTATACTTTCTGGTTTGCTGTTGTTACCCGGAATTGTTTTGTAGAAATTTTTTTCTGATTCTCTTATGGTTCCATATAAATTTTAGGATTGTTTTTTCTAGTTCTTTGAAGAATATAGTTCATACTTTGATTGGCGTTGCATTAAATTTATATATCAGTTTTAGTAATATGGCCAGATTGATAATATTTGTTCTGCCTATCCAGGAACAGGGGATATGTTTCAATTTTCTTTCTTTATTTATTTATTTTTATTTTTTTTTATTTTTTATTTTTTGGATTTTGTAGAGATTTTTTTTTTTTTTGAGTTTATTGGTACATTTAGGGATACAGTACAGTTACATTCATTGTTGGGATCTTGTACCTCTACATGACAAGTCTTGATTCTCATTTTTTCCCTTACCTCTGCCCTCCCTTCACCCCCTCCTCCCCTCCCCATCTACAAACACTTTATTTTCATCTTTTCATTCTCTCACATTTTTTTCTTTTCCCTTTTTGTTCTTCCCCTACGTATCACACTCTTTCTTTATTTTTATAACCATGTTTTCTTTATTTTTATTTTTTTCCCAGCTTTAATTGAGTTTATTGGTACATTTTAGGGATACAGTACAGTTACATTCATTGCTGGGATCTTGTACCTCTACATGACAAGTCTTTGTTCTCATTTTTTCCCCTTGTCCCTGCCCTCTCTTCACTCCCTCCTCCCTTCCCCATCCACAACCACTTTATTTCCATCTTTTCATTCTCTCACATTTTTTCCTTTTCCCTTTTTACCCTTCCCCTACCCGTCTCACCTTCCCTACACCTTTAGTTCCTTTCTTCCCATTTCTCAATGTCAGTAATCTTTTTAGGATCTTCTGTATTATTGCAGATTATTCACGCCAGAGAAACTATTCGGTATATACACATGTGTGCCTTATTTATTTCACTTAGGAGTATATCTTCAATATGTATCCATTTTCCTATGAATGAATCTATTTTCTCATTCTTTATGGCTGATGACTTCAATCTTTTTTTTTTTCAGGATAGTATAGTTTTTGTTATAGAAATCTTTTACTTTCTTGGTTAGGTTGATACTAACCAAGTATATGATTTTTTTTAACCTAAGTATTTGATTTTTTAAAAAAACTATTGTGAATGGGACTGTTTATCTAATTTCTTTTGCTCTAGGTCCATTGTTGTTATATAGGGACACATGATTTTTATGCATTTACTTTGTGTCTTGCTGTTTTGCTAAATTTATTCTAGGAGTTTTTTAGTAGAGATTTTTGGATTGTCTATGTAAAAGCTTGTGTTATCTTCAGGTACAGTTCAACTCCTTCTTTTCCTATATGTATTTTTTTTATTTCTTTCTCTTGCCTGACTCTTCTGGCTGTTTCTAGTATTGAACAGAAGTGGTGGGAGTGGACATCCCTTTCTTGTTCTTGATTTTAGAGAAAAGGCTTTCAGTATTTCCCTATTAAATGTGAGGTTGGCAATGGGTTTGTGATAAATGGCTTTTATCAGTTTGAGATAAGGTATTTCTGTAACTCTTTTTGTGAGAGTTTTAAAAATCATGAATGAATGTTAGATTTTATCAAAGACTTTTTCTGCAGCTCCTGAGATGATCATGTGAATTTTGCCCATGTTTCTCTTTACATGATGTGTTACATTTATTAGCCTACACATGTTGAACCATCCTTATATCCCTGGGATGAAGCCAATTTGGCTATGATATCTGATGTTTTTAATGATTTGTTGCATTCTGTTTGCCAATATCTTGTTGAAGCTTTTTTTTCCCCCCTACTCTGGTACCGGAGATCAAACTCAGGATCTTGCACTTTTGAGGCAGGTGTGGCACCACTGGGCTAAATCCCCAGCCCTGAAGCTTTTAGTTGTGTTCATTAAGGAGTTTGGACTATAGTTTTCTTTTCTTGTTATGCCCCTGTCCTGTTTTGGTATGAGTAATACTACCTTTCAGGAAAGAGTTTGGTAGTATTCCTTTCCTTCTGATTTCAATGAAGAGTTTGAGGAATACTCGAGTTAGATATTCGCTGAAGTTCTGGTAGAAATCTCCAATGAATCTATTATGTCTTGGGCTTTTCTTCATTGGTTGAGTTTTTATTATTGCCTCTATTTTGTTGCTTATTATTGGCCTATTCAGCGTTTCTGTATCTTGTTGGTTCAATTTTGGTAATTCAGTACATATCTAGGAATTTCTCCATTTGTTCTAGGTTCTCCAATTTATTGGAACATGTATATAGTAGTTATA